AAAAAACGTATCATAACAAAACAATAAACAATCATGTGATCTCGTGCTATGATACGGATTTTTGTAAAATTATCTTCTAAAAATATTAAGTTTAAAAATTCCGTATACATTCCGCATGATTAATTTTTTCTGTATACATTTCTTATACATTAGTTTTTTTAAAAAATGTTCAAAAATGAATTGCTTATTAAATATACGGAATTTGTATACGGAATCTATAGAAACGTACAAAAATGTATCCTTTCCGTATACATATTTCTTATAGGGATATTAAGCAACAGATTTTCTTATTTATTTTTTTTTTTATTATAATGATAACTTGAGTAAAAGTAATATTTGTATCATATTCTTTGTCATTTATTTGCATTAAAGCAAAATAAAAATTTTTCTACGTTGAAAAAAATCTTACTGAGAACTTATTTTTGCTATATTAATAATAAAATAAGAGCGTTTTCTATCAATTGAAAAAGATGGTTTTCAGTTCAAAATAGGAAACTCTCCTTTTTTGACCAATCAGATCGCTGAGATGCACTCGGTATACGATTGGAACTAATGAACGTCCTAATCAATTTAATTCATTATTTTATTTTGTTTGAAAGACCAGACAAAGAATTAAAAGAATGTCGCCCAACTTATTTATGCTTTTTAACATAATCATAATCGTAACATGTTAAATTATTTTTGATTAGAAGGTTTTTAATAGATATAATAAATCATATAATGTAACGTAAAAGCCACATATTTCTTTGTGTTTTTTTTTCTTTAAGTCTGGGTTATAGCCGAAATTAACTTTTAATAAAAAATAATGGGACTAACAATCAATTTAATACTAATCATTGTATCTTAGATAAAGATCAATCTATTTTGTCCTAAAGTATGTCAGAATGAAATCATTGAAAATAATTTTAACAATTAAGGATATGATTGAGACTCAGATAAAAAGAAATCTCTATACAACAAGCTAATCATTTTATGCAGAATTTATCTAAAGAAAAATGAATTTTGTAGCGCCTTTCTACCTTTATGATCTTTTGGCGTTTAAATAATGAAAAAAAGCTAAAAATAACTCCATGTTATTATATATAAGATTTTAACATCCATGTTATCATATATTTTTTGATCACCATGCTTACATCACCGGTTATGAAAAATTCACTGGGGGTGAATTTTGTTTAACTGGGGTGAAATGAGATATTAATGAGATCACCGTTAGGAGTTTAAAATGTGGCTTATAATAAACTACAATAAACTTTTTTTCTCACGACCTTTCTTTTTTTCTTTACATTTTTTCTTTCGTCATTTCATATTAACTTTCATTTATTTCACAATGGATATCCAAGAACTTTCTTCACCTTTGATTCCTATTGAATTTTATAATAATACTCATGATGAACCTTTAAACAATTTTTTTAATGAAAATATGAATACAAAAGACAATTTATCTGATGTTAGTGATGACTTTATAAGCGAAGAAAATGATGGTAATTTATCACTTCAAAAGGGACAGACCTTCGAAACCTTCTTTACTGAAACTTGCAAAATCGGGACTGTGTAGTAGCTATGTAGCCGCTATATATATTAAAAAAAGTAGTAGGCGTATCGCTATTTTATGTTTAACGTAGGGTATCCATATGGAGCAAATATAAAAATACTGTGAATAATTTCGAGAGTCCAGCAAGTTTATATGTAACAAATACAATGCAAAAATGTAGTTTATTTAATGTAAAAATATTGCAAAAATGTAGTTTATTTAATGTAAATATATTGTTTATTTAATGTAAAAATATTGCAAAAATGTAGTTTATTTAATGTAAATATATTGTTTATTTAAAGTAATATTACAGTTTACTCAAAGTTATAATACAGCTTCATTGTATCAACTATCTAAATCTATATTAAATCTATTTTGTATCGATATTAATCTATACTAAAAAAAAGCTAAAAAAATCTTTTTTCTAAAGTTTCAAATTCCTTTTTTTGAAACTATACTTGGGATTTTGGTTTCCAAGCTGGAGACAAAAAAAAAAGGAAATAAATTAAAAAAACCTCTTTCTATAAAGTTTTGAATTCCTTTTTTTTCGAAACTTACCTATCTCACGCGAGCATCTAACTAAGAGTCGATTTCACCAAGATCCGTGTCTGAGCCACCTAAAAAAAAAGGAAAAAAAAGAAATTAGCAACCGTTTTTAAAAGATGAAATAAAGATGGAATAAAACAAAAAAAATAATACTCCCACCAAAGTCCCTCGTCCAAAGAATTTAAGAACTGTCTAAAAAGAAAAAATAACAGTTAGAAAATGCTTGTCAAAATAAAAATCAAGAAAAAATTGCCAAACTCACCGATCACGATAAAACAAAATTTTTCTCAGTAAAACTTAATTTCTTTGATAAAAAACACGAAGTAAATCGATTACTATTCCTTTGAGATCTTCAATAATTTCATTTCGAGGATCCTTATTAATAACACTAAATCTTCCGTATCTAGTAGCTTTTGAATCCAATGAGACACATACAGCTGCAATACTTGGCCTATTATCACCTCTTCCAGAATGGAAAATGTCAGCGCCAAATATCACTGTTGGTTCTGAAGATACAAAATCAATTTGATCATTGGTTAATATTACATTTTGTCCACCTAATTTTGCGTTTACTTTCAAAAAGATGTTTGAACAAATTTAATCGATTCCATTTTTTCTCGCTAATCGTTTGAGTAAAATACATTGAGTTGGAACACCCAATTGCGTGTCCCCAATCCTTTTAATTTCTCCATATATTGGACCCGTTGATCCCAAAATACATATAATGATATGTGGATGATAATTTTTGTTAAACAAAGATTTGTGACAAGCAATATTCAACGCCATAGTAATTTCGCCTTGAGGATTCGTATACATGACGTAAGGATCATTCGGGATGTCTAAAGACAGTCTTCTAAAAAAAATAAAATGTTAGTATACGTTACGTTAAAGAAATATATAGAAACATAAACATTGTCCGATTTCTCACCAAAATCCCACATGTTTGAAGGGTGAAACGAAAATAAAACCTAAAAAAGAAAGTTTAATAGTTTAGTACCAAACAAAAGACGACAAAAAAAACCAACAAACAATAGAAAAAACCCACCTTAATTCCCACAAAAGAGACATTGAAACATAAAAAAGGAAATACCAAAACCTAAAAAGAAAGATAACACTGAAGGGGTCACCAAAACCTAAAAAGAAACCAAATCTACAAAAAAAAGAAAATCAAAAGTTAATGACGAATACGAAGAAATAAAATGGCAAATCTAAAAGAGAAAAATGAACCTTTAATAGAGTTCGTTAAAATAAAGTAATTTATGAAAAAAAATTACCTACCAGAAGAATCCCAATGTTAGAAACTGTTCGTTAAAGGAAACGGTGTTGTATTCTTCACTGAAGGAAGGTAGTTCAGAGCTGATATGGAAGGTGCGGAATTACAGAGACTAATAAAGAAATGCAGAGCAATTGTTAAAAAAAAATCCCGAATGCCAGTTCCTAAAGGAAAAAAAAAGGAACGTTAGTGACGTTCCTATAACAAAAGGACCATATGCTTAACTTACCCTTTCACGAATTCAAGTTTGGGTGACGGTTCCTAAAGTATTTCCGTAAAAAAATAATTTTTTTAATAATTAAAGACTGAACTTTAGTGGTCCAAAAAGAAACGTTAAAATGTTTCTTAATTAATAAACACATCCACACACACCACTCCTCATTTACCTCTATTCCTGATCATCACCGTTTCAAAAGCAGAGACGTTCCTAAAGAATAAGAATAAAGTGAGTAAAGAAAAAAATAAATAAAAAAAATGAAAATAAACGAAAAATATACTAACCTCCCGTCTATCTTGCATTCTTAGAAATCCACTGAAACTGCCATTCCGAAAGAAGAGACCGTTCCTAAAGAAATAAAAATAAGGTGAGTAAAGAAAAAAATAAATAAAAAAAAAATGAAAGTAAACGAAAAATATACTAACCTTCCCGTCTATCTTGCATTCTTAGAAATCCACTGAAACTGCCATTCCGAAAGAAGAGACCGTTCCTAAAGAAATAAAAATAAGGTGAGTAAAGAAAAAAAATAAATAAAAAAAAAATGAAAGTAAACGAAAAATATACTAACCTTCCCGTCTATCTTGCATTCTTAGAAATCTACTGAAACTGCCGTTCCGAAAGAAGAGACCGTTCCTAAAGAAATAAAAATAAGGTGAGTAAAGAAAAAAATAAACAAAAAAAAATGAAAATAAACGAAAAATATACTAACCTCCCGTCTATCTTGCATTCTTAGAAATCCACTGAAACTGCCGTTCTGAAAGAAGAGATCGTTCCTAAAGAAATAAGAATAAAGTAAATAAAGAAAAAAATAAATAAAAAAAATGAAAATAAACGAAAAATATACTAACCTCCCGTCTATCTTGCATTCTTAGAAATCCATCGAAACTGCTATTCCGAAAGAAGAGACCGTTCCTAAAGAAATAAGAATAAAGTAAATAAAAGAAAGAAAAAACTGAAAATTATAAAATAAAAAAAAAGAAAAAATATATATATATAACGAAAAAATATACTAACCTTCCCGTATCTCTTATATTCGTTCCAAAAGAGACAATTCCTAAAGAAATAAATAAAGTAAGCAAAAAAAAAATGAAAAAAAAAATGAAAAGAAAAAATGAAATATACTAACCTTCCAGCTTCCGCACCTCTTGCATTCTTAGAAGTCCAAATCACCGTTCTGAAAGAACCCGTTCGGTCTGTTCTTGAAGAAACTAAAGAAAAAAAAATTAATTAAAAAAAAGATCAGATAATCAAATCTGATCATCCAATCATTTTTTTTCAAGGAAAAAATTTATTGAAGACCGAATGTTAAAGATAATGTGATCATCATTTGATTAGCCGCAATTACGTCAGGGTAATTTAATTAGATATTTTCAAAACTTGCAACCGTGAGAAGTATAAAAAAGTTTATTTATTAAAATATATATATAGAAGCTTATTTATTAACATATATGGGTTTTATATATTAAAGTTTTAAATTTAAATTATTTGCCTAAATAAACTTAAACATATAGACTTTTTCTTATATTAAGTTTAAAAATAAACTTTTATAAACTTTTGTTTCTTGATAATAAAATTAGTAATAAAAAAATAATTTTTTTAAATTTCGTAACTAGTACAGTACTTCCAATTTTATAAAAAAAAAACATTTTTAAATTATTATTTATTTTTTTTAAAATGACAAGAGTACGAAAAGAACAAAAAACTACCATGCAAAATGAAGCAGAAGTCACAAGTAAATATTTTTTATATAAAATTGCAATATAATATGATTATAATTTTTTATTTAGTACTTTTTAATTTAATTAGAAGGTCATGGAAAAACTGGCGGTGGACGAGGTCGTGGACGAGGTCGTGGTCGTGGTCGTGATCATAGTAGTGATATACATCAACCAATTGAATCTTCTGTAAGTTCAACCCAAGTGCTAAAGACTACTGCGGGTAATGTCTTCAGAGTTCAGACTTTTTTTTAAAAAAAATTAGTGATAATTTCTATTTTAGCAATTTTTTCTCAATTTCTGATTTGCATTTACTTTAATTCAGTGATCGTATCCGGGGTAATAAAAAACAAGTGATTAAATGTGATACTCCGATTCAAGAATATGAAGCTGAAGCCGGTAATTAATTTTGAAATTTACCATTATTTTATTTTTGTAAATTTCAAATATTGATTTAATGGATCTAAACCAGACCTTAATGTCATTTCTATTTCTGACGATGAATTAGGACCAGCATTTGATGATACACTCAATGATTTTAGCATTTCTGGGCCTTTCAAATTAGATTATAGTACAATTATGGATAATTCTGAAAAGATTTGTGATGATGATCATGAAATAGAAACAGAACGTGACATACGCCCATTTTATATATATTCTTTAACCATGTACATTCTTAAAATTTGAAATAATTGTATTTTATTCTTGAATTCTTTATCGGGTTCCCACCTTGTTATGGTTGTATCACCAGGGGCGCTATGTCAACGGAAATTTAGTACGTAGATCGCTTAAAAATCCGCGGCAATCCAATTATAACAAGAGGAATTAATTTTTACATTAGATAATTTTACTGTATTTGATAATTAAATTTACAATATTTACAATTAAATTTTAGAATATATTTTACAGCAACTTACAATGTTAGAATTAGAAATCACAAAATTAATTTTCTTTTTCTTATAGTTTTAGATTAGAATACATCATATGGGGAGTTATAGGGGGTTACAAATTTTTTTTTGTTTCACTCTATGTATTTTCTTCATGTAGTCAATATATTTTATATATAAATATTACATAATAAAATGCGTTACTGTTTTTTTTAAAAAAAAAGTTATACTACAATTAAAGTCAATAGAAAACGTTAGGTTGTTAGAAAAGTAAATTGTTGTATTAATGTTCCTTATCGCCTCTATAAAGCAGATATGAAGTGAAATGATGGAATCTATAATTCCATGTTTTTTTTTAAAAAAAAATAATCGTATTTTCGTAAATTAAAAAATAATTAAGTTTCATATTACCTCCATGTAGAAAATATAAAGTAGTGAGGTAGAAACTGGACAGTTGAAACAAAAAAAATGCCACTAGCGATCGACCCTATAGTCACGTGATAGCCACATGCCAGCAGCGTTAAAGTTGCTAAATCAGAGGTTTCAGCAAAGTTTGAAGAAGTAGAGAAATATTTAAAACAATATTGTGAGCAGAAAGGTTTTGAATATCGTAAGAGAAGAGTTGAATATGATAATGATAATATTGTACGCAAACGTACTTATGAATGTACTAAAGCAGCTCAATACCAACCAAAAAAAGATAAAGATCCTGAAAAACATCGTCAACGAAGTTCTGGATCAATTGGTTGTCAGTGGCATTTAAATGTAACTTGTCCAAAATCAACAGAAGTTATTAAAATCTCCACAATAGTTGATGAACACAATCATCCTTTAAATCCAAATATTATGATTCATGGAGTTCAATTTCGTCGGTTTTCAGAAGAAATGAAATCTGATATATTAGAGTATCTCACTGCAGTTCCAACTATGGGTGCTCAAACTATATATAGATTATTAACTAAAAAATATCCAGACATTTATATTCATCGCAAAAACTTATATAATGCAATACAAGAAGTTAGAAGATGTAAGTGAATAGAAGAAAAAGATGATGCAGAAAATATGTTGCAAGATTTGTATAACCTTCAAAAGGAAGATCCAGGTTGGGTAATTGAAACACGTATAATTGGGAATGATTTTCATTTAGGAAGTGTTCTATGGATGTCGCCACAACAAGTCCAACTTTGGATGAGATTTCATGATGTGGTTATTACAGATGATACCTATAAAACAAATCGATATGATATGGCATTATCATTATTTATGATAATTGACAACTATAATCGAACTCGTGTTGTAGCGCAAGCTTTGATAGAAGATGAAACTTACTCAACTTTTCAATGGATTCTTGATTGTATATTACGTGCAACTAATTTTTCATTTCCAAGAGTCATTTTTACAGATGGAGATTTGGCAATGGCTGCAGCCATCAAAGCAAAATTGCCTGATACTCACCATTGTATCTGCCTTTTCCATATGAATCAAAATTTTATAAAGCAGTTAAAAGGAAAACTTCATGATGAATTTACTTCTTGCCATCAATTGTTTATTAAAACTCGAAATAGTTCATGTGTTGAAGATTTTGAAAGAAGGTGGCAACGGTTGATAACTAATTACCCTGCTGCTAAATCTTATCTGCAAAATAAGTTATATCCAATACGATTTTCCTGGGCGTATTGTTATACACAAACCCGATTTACAGCTGGTACTACAACGACTCAAAGGGCTGAATCTGAAAATAATACCATTAAATTAGAAGGACTTCATACAGCTTCATTAGTTTATCTTACTCAGCAAATCCATATGAGATTGGAAAAGGAACGACAGTATGCTGAATTTGAAGATCAAAAAACTCGAAATATTATGACTAGCATACCACATATTGATGAGAAATTCTTTGGATCTATTATTCAAATATTAAAAGAATTTCTTACACCAAATATACTAATAATTGCAAAAAAAGAAATTTCTGAAAGTATTTTATATGAAGCAATTCAAATTAGTTTGAATTTAAATTTAGATACTTTGGTAAGTTAAACTAAAAATAATAATAATGCGCAAAGTATGGTAAGGGAGTGTATTATTAGTAGTGAATTAGCGTTGAAAAAGGAGTTATTTAGGGTTAGGGTAAGGGAGTGCGGCATAGTGAATTTGCGTTGAAAAAGGAGTTATTTAGGGTTAGGGTAAGGGAGTGCGGCATAGTGAATTTGCGTTGGAAAAGGAGTTATTTATGGTTAGGGTAAGGGAGTGCATCATAGTGAATTAGCATTGAAAAAGGAGTTATTTAGGGTTAGGGTAAGGGAGTGTGGCATAGTGAATTAGCGTTGAAAAAATAGTTATTTAGGGTTTGGGTAAGGAGTGTGGCATAGTGAATTAGCGTTAAAAATGAGTTATTTAGGATTAGTGTAAGGGAATGCAGCGTAAAATTAACATACTTTGGCGCAGGATATAGATTTGAATGGGATATTTGAATGTTATTAAACTTTATTTATTATTTCTTTTTGTAGGATTTTGAATATACACCTCAAGATGATGCTATTGAAAACAAATATGATTACAAAAAGGCATTACTCAAAGACTTAATGAAAAATATACCAAATTCCTTTATTATTGAAGTATGGCGAGTACAACCATCAATTGGTGCACAACCATGGCTCACACAATACGTTATACTTTTACAAGATGGAAGTCACATATGCACATGCTTAATGTTGATCAATAAAGGAATTATTTGTCATCATTTTATCAGAATTCTTACAAAAAGTGCGTCAGCATTTTTTAATATTTCATTGATTCCGTCAAGGTGGTATAATGATCAAGCTGCACAATTATCTGAAAGTGAAATACGTGCTTCACCATCAATTCAATTATTTAATACTTCTCAAAGTGTACCAACTCATTCAAATCTTAATTTGGAATATTCTTATCCAGATATCGTATGTGGAGGAAATATTTTTACACCAGAACTAAAGGAAAACGTAACTGATCGTCAAAAATATGCAAAAGCTTGTGGATTACAAAAAAAAGCATATAATCTTTCTAAACAATTAGGTCAAGAATTGGAGTATATTAATCTACTTAATAATTTCATACTTTCTATGGAAGTTAATTTGAGTGAAATGAATGATAAGGAAAATACAGATGAGTTTCAAAGAAAAATTTCAAATCCAATCTATGTAAAACCTCGTGGAAGACCACTTCAAAAGAGATATAAAAGTTCTTTGGAACAGCAATGTATTAGTCATACAAATGCTGAACTTCGTACACCTTTAGGAAATGCATGTCAAAATGTTGATTATTCTTTATCTGATAAATTTTCTGAAAGTAGTGGGTCGAATAATTCTAGACAGATGAAAAAATGCGGAAGATGTAAGCAATATGCAATGCACAATAGGCGTACATGTAATGTAGATTTGTCAAATTTACAACAAAATTAATTTTATTCTTTATAGACAAATCATAATGTAAAATATGCTAATTTAATATTTCTTTCAAAAATGTAATAAATGACGCGTAATTTTAATAATACAATATTAAACAAATTTTATA